GCAGATAGAAGGCGTGAGAACAGTGCAGACTCGGGGTGATTACAAATCATTTAGACTAAGCAAAACCAGGCCATCCTAAATTTGTCGGCAGCAAAGGAGTGTTTGTGAGCAGAGCTGAAATAAGTTATTTGAAGATGCTGCAGTACCTCTACATAAAGCATCAGAGTGGTGGCTAAATGCTACCCGAGGCAGAAGGGAGAGTCTGGCCCAGAGCTGCACCCTGGGCTGTGCTAGAGCTCCAGTTTCTCTTCAGCTCAGCAATATTTTTGTACAGGGTAAAGCACAGGCCAAGAGGAGGATGGGTTGTGGTGCATTGCCCTGGCCAGAGTTGCTGCTTTGTGTTCCCCCAGCTGCAGATGCACCTGAAAGTGTGGATTTCAACCTGGAGAAATGCAGAGGAAGGTGTTAAAGGAAATTAGTCAAAACTCCCAGATTTGGCCCTTGGCATGTTACAGAATTTTTACAAAATTCCTCTCTGAATTTGTACCTCTGTGGCCAAGGGTGGACTTTGTGAAGGGGGTGCAATGGAAGCAGGATGGAGAGGTGATCAGCCTTTCCCCCCAGCCTGCATGGTCTGGCCCATGCTCTGCTTCCCAAGAAGGTTTAGTCTGAGAGGTGTGTGAGCAGCCCCAAGGACACGAAACCCAGGGAGAACTCCTCATCCCCACTGGGCCAGGCACTGGCCAGGCTGAGGGAATGGCCTCAGCCCCATCTGCTCTGACCATCTGCCCAGCATTGTGCAGATCTGCTCAGGAAAGAGGCCAAGCCCAGACACTTGGGCTGGGGAGCAGAGCAGAGGTGATTTCCACCAATGCTGGATGGAGAGCTGCCCAGGGCAGTGCAGCTCTGCAAGGGGAAATGTGCTGTGCAGCTGCCCAAGGAGAAGAGAAGCTTCTCCTGGGACGCAAGGGAAGACATTGCTCAGGGATGAAGTCACTTTCTGAGGTCATGTAGTCACTTTGTGCTGCATGTGCATCATTCCCACTGCTGCCACAGATGATTCAGCACCTCCATCACCTGCAGATGATGGCAGGACTCCCCTGGGTGATGTCCTCTGGGAATTCTGGCCTCCTTGGCAGTCAGTGGCATTGGCTTCCAAGGCAGCAAAAATGGGAGGTCAAGAGATCTTTCTTTGCTTTTTCCCCACAGCGGGGTGTATTTTCAAATGCTGTGTAAATGCCTCAGATGTCACCAAGACTTTTGAGTCAGCGTGACACAGGCAGGACCTCAATGTCTATGTGGGGTTAAGATTCAGCAAAGTCTGGTGACAGATGATGGAGCCATGGGAGAGGAGCTGCCCTGACTGGAGAGGTTTTGTGCGTGCCAGTGATGAGTGGCCTGTGCTGGGTCTCTGCAGGGACCTGCCCAGGCTGATGCTTTAACTCCCCTCCAAGTGCAGAAGGGCAGCAGGCAGTTCAAATTCCCCAAGCTCAGCATCTGCAGCCTGGATTCCACTTGCAATCTTGAAAAAGCCTTATAAATTTTTTAGAGCAGCCCCAAACGCCTGCTGAGTTGGCCAATCAGCTCCAGTGGATTAAGAAAACTTACTTTAAATTATTAACAACACACAGCCAGACACGAGGATAGAGGTGGGAAAGGAGAAGTACTCATTCCTCATTCCAGTGGATGCCACAAGAGCAGCCAGCACCGGGCTGGGGTTTGGCAGAGGTGTCCATTCACACCTAAAGGATGGTCCCATGGCTGGGATCTTCCCTTCTCCATCAGGAACCCCCACCAAGGCATCAGTGCCAGGCTGTGCACAGGGTGTGCTTCATCATGGAGATGATGTCCCTTTTGGAAACTGGGTGTTGGTCCCCACACACCTCCCTCTCCTTGCCTCCTCTTCCAGGCCCTTTGGGTTCTCTCTTCTTGCAGAGCTGATCCCCAGCTGGACAGCAGAGCCTGCCCTGATGTTTTTTTATTTACTTTCCTACAACCTCAAGTAATTTTCCCTCCACCAGCTTCAAATTTCAGGAAATAAAATCACATTTGCTAACTCTGGTCCCCAAAGTAATGGCAATAAGCACTTTGCATCTCCCGAATCTATTCTTTTTGCTTCGGACGTGCTGCCCCCCTGCCAGGACCAGGGCCATGGTATGGGTTTCCTCGGCTCGCAGCAGTTCCAGGAGGATTTTGTCCCTATTTCCACGAGATGGCACCGATGAGGCTGCTGCGGGAAGCAGCCACCGCGACGCCTTCAGGGACGACTGGGGTGGAAAATTACTCCAAACCAATAAAAGTTGCCATGAAAAAATGCCTCTGAGCTCTGGCTTGTGGCGTCCCAGCACACCTGGCCACGGCAGGGAGGAATTGGAGGAGAATTTGGTATTTTAAAATCCATCTCACCACCACAGCTCTATCACCTGCCATGGGTCACACACACCCACCTGCTCCAACGCGGTGCTGACGGTTCCAAAATTAGCTTGAGCTCAATGCAAATTTTGCCAAAATCCACTTGTGGTCCAGTTCAGGGGGATGTTGGGCTGTTTATCATTTTGGTAGGACCCCCAAGTGGATCATGTCAAACCAAGGGCATCATTGCTTGTGTGCCTGCAAGCCCTGTGGGGCCAGGCAGTGATTTGCACATGCTGGGTTGTTGATCCAATCCCGAAACACAGATCCACAATGGATTCAAACCCAAGGTTTGGCTGGAGGCAGGTTCTGGCTTCATTGGTACTGTGCTGAGATGCCCAGAAATTCAGTGTATTTTTCTTTTGGGAACCTCATGCTTTGAAGTGGGTTTAAATAATTTCTGATAATTCTGGCTTGCTAAAGATCCTGACCCAAACCTCGCAAAATGGGGGATGCTGCTGCTGCTGAGATCTCACTTTGGGCACCATCTCTTCTTTGTGCTGCTGCAGATCACCTGAGGTGCCAACCCACACTGAGATGAGGCTGAAAACTTGGCCCTGCTCTCAGCCGTGAGCAAGTCTGAGTTAAATCCTCTGGGGTTTATATTTTTGCTGTTCTGCAGTTCCATCATTAATTACCTCACCACTTGTGCAGTGATACCAGAGTATTTTTCACAGTTCCCCTGGCATATTTCTATGGAAACAAAGCTGTGGTTTTGTCAGTTCTGGTTTTGCTTTTAAAATAGTGAGAGAGGTGCAGACTTTGTGCCTGCTCTTCTCTGTCCCACTCCCGACGCCACGGTTGTCCCCACTCCTGCTGTGCCAGGGGCTGGCTTCCATGGGGCACAGGGAGCTGGAGGTTCCTGAACAGCGTGGGAGGGATATTCCCACAGGAGTTCCTGTTGCTGCTGCTTCTAAGGATGCAGGAAGGTCATGCACATGAAGATTTTCTCCTGCTGGGAAATACCCAGGAAAAGGCACAAGCTGGCTCAGTGAAAGCATGCCTTGGGAGCTGGGAAATGCAGGAGGAGCTGGAAGATGAGATTAAACTATCAGTGGGAAACCAGCCTTCTCCTGTGGCTGTGCTGTGCCTGCAGGGAACCCCAGATCCCCTTCCAATTTGTGCCATGCCAAGGACACGGCACTTCAGAGAGCTCAGATACCACAAAGACCTTGGGAATCAATTTGATTTCTGTGGATGCAGCTGGTGGATGTGGGGTGTGTGGAGAGGGGTGAGGAGCCTTGGTGGCCTGTGCACAGTTTTGGGGATCTTGGCCCGGGGAGTCAGTATGTGTCCGTGGGCTGCCAGATGCAGCCATGGATTGGGGAGAGTTTTGGGGGAGCAGGCAGGGTGAGATCATGCAGAGCTCTCTGTAATTCAGCTGCACTACAGCTCCTTGAGGCTCTGCCTGGGGACACGCAGCACTGCAGAGCATCCAATGTTAATTAGGATCATTAAGGGCTTTGTGACACAAACAGTAATGATGATGCTGGTGCCTCTGGAGCTCTCCTGGAAAGGGCCTCTCGTGATGCTGCCTTTCACAGAGATGTGTAGGGCCATCTGTTCCCAGCACTGTCTCGTCCTGAAAGCCAAGCCATGAGCACAGACAAGCTCAGGATGGCACAGCACGGTGCTAATGCCTCCTTCAGGGGGGAAATGTCCCTTGGAAACATCCCCGGAATGATGTAGTGGAAGCACAACTCTCACACCACCTCCCCTCCTTTTCCCTGCCCCATTGTACCACCTACAGCTCCTCCTCACACTTGGGGCTCCCACTCAGTCCCCTCACAGCTCCTGGCTGTGGCTTTTTGGTCAAACCTCAACCCTTTGGACTGGGACAGCTGCGCTGGGTGGAGTTGGGAGAGCTGCACACCTTGCCTGGAGCTGCAAGATTGTGATTGGACTCAAGACATTGCCCTGGCTGAAGACCATGAGTTTTGGGGCTTGTGAGACCTGAGTCACGTCTGGGCTTCAGTCAGGAAGAAATGTTCCTGTTGTGTTGTTTGGAAAGGGCCAGGGATCCACCATGCATGATGCAGAGCAGCATGTGGGGAGAGAAGGCAGTCTCAGTCACTGCTCCCAAAATGATGGGGAATGACAAAGACCCAACTTGATGCTGCTCACCCTTACAGAGACATAGGGTGCCCTGTTTTCCTTTCTTTCAGTGACATAACTATAGGAGCTCAATTTAAGCCTATTTTGCATTAAAAAATATAATAAAGACCATGGAAAATTATTTTAGAGGCTTGAGCTGGTTAAGGAGACCTTCAAAACTGCTGTGAGAGCTGTAGCAGGTTCAAGCTGGGAGAATCACCCAGGTCAAGGGGTGCAAGCTGGGGAAAGGCTGAGTGCTGGCTGACACCCTGAATATGAGCTCCCAAATGTTCTCCTTCCTCCTTATTTCCATCCCAGGCCCTCCTGCACCCAATCCCACCATCTACTCTAAGTGAGACCACACAACCCCCAGCCAACCCACCCCCTCTCAGTAACAGACACACACACACACAGCTCCACACCTTTTGGGTTGGTTGGTTTGGTTTGGTTTTTTTGTTTGTTTGGTTGGTTGGTTTTTTTTGGGGGGGCGGGGGGGAGGGAAGGGGAATTTTTCTGGGTTTAGTTGTTTTTTGGGGTTGTTTTTTTTTCCACTGTGGATGTTGTACCAGTTTTATTGGTAAAATTAACATGAAGCCTCACAAACGCTGGAACATGCTTTTCCTTTTAAAGAATTTCCACTGGACCTTAATGGTGAGCATCCAGTCGTTGACATATAAACTCTTACAAGCTGATGTGCACACGTGCGCCCGGGGGAGTCGGTGGCAGCGTCCTGGTGTCAGGGATGGTTTCTGCGCGATGCACTGGGAGCCCACGATTCATTTGCCAGCCTTCTGGGCCTTCTGGGCAGACTTGGTGACTTTCCCAGCCCCACCACTCTTCTTCTCCACATTCTTGATGACGCCCACGGCCACGGTCTGCCGCATGTCACGGACAGCGAAGCGGCCTGAGGGACAGACAGAGGAGGAATGAGACACCAAGGCTGAGCAATCCTGGGAGGGCGTGGCAGGCACATTCTCCTCTCTCAAGATTTTTCACAGAGGTGTACAGAGAGAAGAAAGAGAAAACAATTTCTATTTCTGCTCCTTGTTTTTCCTATGTGGAATATGTTTGGAGACTTGTCTATGCGGAGTGATTTCTTGATTGGATGCTGGTGAAGATTGTTTGAGCCTGATGGACAACCCAACCCACCTGTGTCTATACTCTCAAGAGACGGCTAGGAGTTGTTAGTTAGATATGGTAGTTAGAAAAAGTAAGTAGGTAATTTTAGTATCTCCTTTAAATAGTATATTAATGTATTATAGTATAGTTATAATAAAGAAATCATTCAGCCTTCTGAACTGGAATCAAACATCGTCATTTCTTCCCATCGGGTTCACCTACATTTACAATAGGAGGGTGGTGGTGGGATCTACATCCCCCTACTCATGGTGCTATTGGAGCAGGTTCCTGCAGGGACAAGCCCTGAGCTATCAACCATTGTTTGTCCTGATGTTCCCCTCTATTTAAATTACTATATTTTCAACTTAAACCCCATTTCTTCTCTGCAAGCTCCCAGCACTGCTAAAGCTTCCAGATGTGCAACATCAGCCTGGTCTAGTGGAAGGTGTATCTGCCCATGGCAGGGTGGTGGAACAAGATGGCTTTTAATGTCATTCCAGACTGTCCTAGAACTCAAGCATGGCACTTCCCTGCATTAAAAGGTGGCCTCCACTGAGCAAACTTCCTCCTCTTTCTTCTCCTGACCAGTTGTTTTAGGGCAGAGAGGAGGAAGTGTTTCTGTGTTCAGAAACTATCACGGTTTAGTAACCATAAAGGAAAGCATAAAGGAAAGGTCTTGTTGCTCCCAGAGGGAAAACCCAGACTTTGGAAACCCAGCTTGGCAGCACATGGGGGAGCAAAAAACATCCTCAGCTCCCTCCCCATCTAGCTAGGAGAAGCTGAGCATGTCTGCTGTGAGCTCTGCACCCACAGAGCCCTCATGCTCCTCCCCTGGAGATCTCCAAAAAGCCATTCCCTTACCAAGGGGTGGGTACTGGGAGAAGCTCTCCACACACATGGGCTTGCCAGGGATCATCTCCACGATGGCTGCATCACCCGACTTCAGGGACTTGGGGTTGTCCTCCAGCTTCTTGCCGGAGCGCCGGTCGATCTTCTCCTTCAGCTCGGCGAACTTGCAGGCGATATGTGCGGTGTGGCAGTCGATGACAGGCGAGTAGCCAGCACTGATCTGGCCAGGGTGGTTCAGGATGATCACCTGGGGGACAGAGCAGTGTCACGGCAAGGCTGGGAGCTGGGGGGTGGTGGCAAAGCAGGCGTGGTGGCATGGACAAGCCCTGCTCACCTGAGACGTGAACTGCGCTGCCTCCTGCGGCGGGTCCGACTTGCTGTCCCCGCAGACGTTCCCGCGGCGGATGTCCTTCACCGAGACGTTCTTCACGTTGAAGCCGACGTTGTCGCCAGGCAGAGCCTCGCTCAGGGCCTCGTGGTGCATCTCTACGGATTTCACCTCAGTGGTGATGTTCACAGGGGCAAAGGTGACCACCATGCCAGGCCGCAGGATTCCGGTCTCCACTCGGCCCACGGGAACTGTGCCAATCCCTGCAGAGACAAGGACAGAGTGCAGCAAAATTCCGTCTGCTTGGTATATCCCTGAGCCAGAGCCTGGACTCAGCAAAAGGTAGATTTCTACACTGGTTGTCACCAAAGAACACATTTGTACCTTGCCCAAAACCCCCAAGTTTTCAGCAGATCAACACTGGGATCTTGAAAATCACTATGAGTCCATCCTTCCTACTCAAAATTTTCTTAAAAAAAAAGTAACCCATAGTCAGAAAGTCCTGAGCAATCTGCATGTCCCAAAAGCTCTTCTCCTGGATCAGCTATGGTATCTCCTGCATGGAGGACTGGGACATCCCAGCATGTGTACACCAACACTGTCCACATCCCTGATGGCCACACCACCAGCTGTGACAGAGAATGAGGGTGGCTCATTAAATGACTGGGATCTTTTACACCCTGTGTCACCAGGAGACTTTGGGAAAATACCCCTTTGGAGGCAGGTGAAGAATGATGGAGAGAAACAACACTGAAAAGAGATTGAAGAGGTTGGCTGGACCCATCTGCTCCTCCACATCCACCCTGCTGCCTCCTCCTCCCCTCTTCCCACAGTGTCTCTCCTCCCCATGGACTTGCCTCCCAGTAAAACCAGATCCCTTTGCCCCAGCTGAGCTAGGGGAGGACACAGCCTGCTCACCATCTTTCATATCTGCTGCAAACAGCAGCAACCTCCAATAACAACCCAGCTAAAATACCAGGCTCAACCCCTGCAGTGCATGTGTCCTTGGAAAGGGGTGGGAAAGAGCTGGAAAAGTCTGTGCCTGCCTGATGCAGCAGCCAGGGAGTCAGCAGTGCTGTCCACTTATGCCAGCAGGTCAGAGAGCTCACAGGGTATTTATAGCTGAGCAAAGTGTCCCCATCACCTCTCCAGAGGGAAGGGGACGTGTGTCAGCCACGGCGCTCCCTACATGGCTGGCACAGCTCGGCAGGAGGAGGTGCCAGTGATGGACACCAGCATTTGGGAAGCTTGGGCAGGTCCCAGCCAAGCTGCCATGCACCAGCTTCAGTGGCCCTTCCTGCTGGTCTTGTCTCTCACCTGGGTCACAGAATGTTTTTTGCTACCTCCAACCTGCCTGGCCAGCCATGACCTCTGGGACACACAAATTTGCAGCCATTCTGGCATCATGTGTTCCTCAGGGAGAGCTCACAAACCTGCTGCTCCTCTCTGGTCCCTGGGCACTTTTGAGCATGTCCAGCTCCACCCCAGACAGCCCAAGCTCAAATGGGGTTTTTGCCCTGGAGCTACCACCCTTTTCTCCAGCATTATCTCTTGTTTGAACAGTCAAATCCCTCCAGTTTCCCAACACCCGGAAATGTCATTCCCAAATTCCTATGGAATGAAGACTCCAGTTAAGGCAGAGGAGTGGCAAGGCTCACCTCCAATCTTGTAGACGTCCTGGAGGGGCAGGCGCAGGGGTTTGTCTGTGGGGCGGGTCGGGGGCAGGATGGTGTCCAGGGCCTCCAACAGGGACACCCCACTGGCATTGCCTTCTTTGCGCTCCACCTTCCAGCCTTTGAACCAAGGCATCTGGGAAGAGAGCAGCAACAGAGAACCATAGAATCACAGGACAGTTTGAGTTGGATGGGACCTTAAAGACCACCTTATTCCACCCCTCTGCCATGGGCAGGAAAACCTTCCACGAGACCAGATTGCTTCAAGGTCCATCCAATCTGGCCTTCAACACTTCCAACACGCCCTGAGTGTGCCTGTCCTCAGCACCCAGAGGTAAACCCAGAGAATTGTCCCACCAGGACAACCTCCATAAAGTCAGTCCTGCCATGTCCTGATTTACCAGGACTCTGGGGAGCTCCTTCCACTCCACCATCCCTGCAGGTTTATCTGCTCCCCTTTGCTCAACCTCCCTCTGTCTCTCCTAAAAACAAGCAAGACATCCATTAACAGGAGAAAAAGCATGGAAGTGGTTAAAGCCAGCAAACTCACAGCCCCCACTTCCAACACCAACCCCTGGGCACTGCTCCAGCTGCCAGGATCCTGCCCCCCAGGAATGATGCCAGGATCCTGCCCCCAAGAAATGCTGCCAGGATCCTGCCCCCCAGGAATGCTGCCTCCAGCACAGGGACTGCAAGGTCTGCAGCCAATTGCCAGCCAAGTGCCCAACCAAGGTGCTCTCCAAGGTGATCCCCAGAGAGATGCTTCTCCCCCCTCACTATCACCCCTCCAGGGTCTGGATTCTAAACCCTGGCTTGGGAGGGTGATGCAAACCCAGCTGCCAAGAGACAGGATTGCTTTTCACAGATGTTCCCTTCTCCTGCTCTAAAGCGGGTTTTGAAACTAAAAACTGCCCGGAAAAGAGGCAGAGAGGGGTGGAAATATGCTCAGGTACCATGGTTAAATGCAGGGAACTGCTTTATTGGGGTGATGCTGCACATCTAGAAACTGTAGCAACACCTGGAGCTTCCTAGAAAGAAAAATTTAGTCCTGGGTCTGAGACAACCCTAACACAACAAGAAGTCAGAGTTTGAAAGGCCATTGCCCTGCCTCTGCACAGAGAGGGTTAGACAGCATTTTCTCATTCTAATGTCAAATGCTTCTTGTGTGTCCCAAATCCATCACGTATTTTGTGGATATGATTTTTTCCCTTAGCACCAGCACCAGTGGCACAGTGCAGTGGGCATGGGGGGCTGGGGTGAAGCAAGACCCCCCAAAGTGCCCCCAGTTTCACAGCCATCCCCGCAGGATGCAGCGATGCCAGGTCTGGTTTCCTATCCTGCAATCTGCACCAGCTCTGGGAAGGAGAAGGAGAAAGATGGGATGCAGCCAGAGAACACAGCTTGCATCCAAAGCTTTCAGGTCAGCCCCTTCAGAGGGTCTCGTCTGACATCCCTTGTCTGTCTTGGTGGCAGTGGCAGGAGGAGGACTGGCAGGTCCCCAGTACCTGGGGACACTTTTGGAGTGGGTTCTTCCCAGGGCACTGCACTCTCACCATGCAGCCAGACCCAGAGCCAGGCCACAGCTTGGCAAAATGAAGACTCCATGCAGGCAGCGAGGGAGCCTCGTGTTGTGTGCAGGATGACTCAGACCTTCCCCCATCCTGCTGTCCCACGGCCCAAACGCCAGGCAGGGACCTGTGCCAGCAGCTGCCTGGTGGCCACCTGCCCACAGGCTCTGCTCTCGAGGATGATGGCCACCAAGTGCCCACAGCTCCCATCCCTCTGCCCCACACAGCTCTGGCACACGGGAAATAACAACCTCTGCCCATGACACCTGGCTGTCAGAGCCATCCCTCTCTCCAGAGGACTTCTGACATGCCAAGAATCAGGCAAAGATGAACTTAGACATCTCCAGGGAACAAATCTCTGCAAAACCTCAGCATGGCCTCAGGGTGAAAAGCATCTGCAAAACCTGGTTTGTGCTGCCTCCTATGGCCACCCAAATAAAATCTCTGTCGTGTATTCCCCAGTTCTCCCCAAAGAGTAATTCCAATTCCACCACTCCTACAGCAAAAGCAGGATCTGACCAAAATCCTCCAGGCAGACAGGCTCCAGCTCCCCAAAATAACAGCTGAGCTCCAACTCTTTAACACTCAAAAGTTTATTTCCTGATTTTGCCCAGCCCATGAGCAGCTCAACATCCCCACAAACACACCCCAGTGTTGAGGCTGCAGCCCCAAGCAACCACACGTCCTGGCACCAGAGACTGGGACTGTTTGGGTTGCAGCATCCCATGGGGTGAAAGTCTCCCATACCACATGGAATGGCCCCATTCAGCCAGCTGAAGCATCACAGAACTGCTTCACAGAACACCCCACTTCCCAAAAAGCTCACAAATGCCAAACTTTGATGGAAGCACAGCTCAGTTGTCATTTTTTCACTTGGCCTTGGGATTCTGTGCACCAGGGATGTGGGCTGGAGTCACCCACACAGAGACAGTTCCAGCCTGACATACCACCACACCCCCCTTGCTCAGAGGCAACAGGAGCTGCAGGGACATCATGGCTCTAATCCCCACTTTCTGATAAGTCCCCTGACAGACAGACAAGTCACTTGACTGCCTTGTGCTTCAGTGAAACCTGTCCAGGAATTACAAGTGAAAATAATCAGAGCTTTTTCAGATGAGGAAAGAAAGAAGAGACATCTACACCAGGTCCCTGCTTAAGCTTCCCCAGAGGTGCTGCAATACAAGAAGGAGGAATCTGTCCCTCAACTCTCTTCAGAAGAGCTCAAGCTCTTCCAGACCAGGCCAGGTTTTCTTTCCAATTCCTAGCTCAGGCAGAACCCAGGAGCCAGCTGGTTCCTTAGGACAAAGGAGAGAGTTGTTTCGTCCCCTGCCTTCTCACAGGCAGCACATCACACTGGGAGCCTGCCCTGAGACCCCTCTGGAGGAAGGGGGTCACAGAGCCCCTCCTGCTCCGAGCCTCCCCTCTGCTGCCTATTTATAGGAGAATTGTTCAGGATCATCTTCCCGGCCCAGCAGCTGCTGACATTTGGAGCCTGCCTGATTGAGGCACTCAGGAACCACGGGGCTGGGTTTGGCATGGCCGTGGCTGACCTTTATCCCAGCTCTGCTCCTCAGGGAACAGGAATCTCCCAAGCACCTCAACAATTCCTTCCTTCCAAGCCATCCCAAGTGAGCTGCCTTTCCTGTGCAGGCAGGAGCTGTGTTTCATGGCTGTGTGAGTCTGCATTGCAGCACTCCCCTTCCTCAGGCCTGTGATCCCTGACCTCCCTCAGTTGCTGCTGGGCTCATGGATTGCCCCACTCATCACAGAGCCCTGCCCTAACCCACAGGTGATGTCCTGAAGTCCCCCTAAGCATCAAATTACCATTGGTTTCACAAGAGATTCCTGATCTAAGCAATTTGCTCAAGGTCACACAGAAGTCACTAGGAGGGCAGGGACTTACCTCTGGCCAGAACTTTCCAGCCCATCATTTCTTTAAAAGACTAACCTGGAGGTAGCTTTTTCTCCAACAAAACCAGTATCAGAATAGTTATGGGCAACCTGTCTGCCAAAAACCTCCAGCCTTCTAAAGCTCTTCTTTCTGATGTATGAAATGATGGCACAGGCCCACCCTGCTTTTGTCTCCCCACCATGCCCATCACAGTGGGAGTAAAAACCAACTGGAAAAGGAGAAACCTCAAATGAATGCTCTAGGGAACTGTGGTTTTGGCACAGGAAACTTGGTACTTCCTGAAGAAAACACCACCTGTAGGAGTGAGATCCCAGCATTGAAGTGGAGGTTTGGCCACTGCAGTGACACAGCATCAGAGGGAAAGGAGACCTGAGACCCAGCACGAGGGAGCTCAGCTGCACTGTGGGAGCTGCTGCAAGCCTGACCCCAGATTGTGTTATTCCTCTCAGAAACAATGCCCTAAAAACACACCCACTGCTCCTGCTGGGACTGACAATTGCTGCTCTAATGTCATCATGAGCTCTGACCAGGCGAAAACTTCAAATCCTGGCCCAGAAGCAAAGCCAGACAGATCATCTCCTGAAGATGCTCATGTTTAGCTGCTGGGCTGCTTGGCCAGGGCACAGCACCCATGAGCAGTGAGCCCATCCATCCTGCCCAGGGCCAAGCAGAGCTCCATGACACTTCATCTTCTGCTAGCACGGGTGCATGAAATGCCTGCAGAGCACGGAGTTCATCTTCAGCCCGGGTCAGGATCCTCAGGGTGGGGGAGAAGTGTTAACACAAGGCACACTTACATTGGGAGAGGGCTCCAGCATGTTGTCTCCATGCCAGCCCGAGATGGGCACGAAGGGGACTGTGGCCGGGTTGTAGCCGATCTTCTTGATGTAGGCGCTGACCTCCTTGACGATCTCGTCGTAGCGCTTCTCGCTGTAGGGGGGCTCTGTGGAATCCATCTTGTTGATGCCCACGATGAGCTGCTTCACCCCCAGGGTGTAAGCCAGCAGGGCGTGCTCGCGGGTCTGCCCATTCTTGGAGATGCCGGCTTCAAATTCACCCACACCGGCAGCGACGATCAGGACAGCACAGTCAGCCTGGGGGGAGAGAGCAGGTGAATTGCTGCACAGCCCTGTGACACCCCAAGGGCTTTGAGGGAGTCACAGACGACTCCCTGCCAGCTGCTGATCTGCCGAAAAACTGACCCAGCTGTGCTATTTCAGACTTGGCAACCCCACATTGTTCTGCACTGTGAGTGGGAAACCAGTGTGGATCTCTCCTGGATGCCAGACTCTGATCAGGATCTCATCTTGATCATCTACAGACAAAGTTTCATTTAAAACCCTACTGAAGTCTTGCAAAAATCCTCCCTGGTGAGGGGTGTGACTCCAGGAATGGCTAGTGTTCCCTACATTGCTTTTGTACCAAAACACAGTGCAGAAGCTGCCTGGGTTTGGCAGAAAGCCAGGCCCAGTGCAACTAGTACCTCAATGGAAACCTCACTGGGCATGCAGTGGGGTTAACTCAGCACTCATCAGTCACAGGGAGATGCAGGAATGTCCCAGTGATGGACAATGAGGGGAAACCACCCTGCTCAGGAAGGGTAGGCCATTGGGTTTGGCAATATAATGTGGGACAAGGACAGCTGTTTGAGGAAAAGGAAAGAGAAAAGGTCTGTGGAGCCTCCTTTATCCAATAAAACCTAGTGTATTGTTGGAAGTTTCTTGTATATCTCATTTGGCTGAGGCTAAAATAGTGTGGAGTCACCCTACAGCTTGCACCCTGCAAGCTGTAGCTTGCAGCATCCCAACTCCCAGGCAGGCCACGTTCATCCCACCTTCTCATGTGGGTGGAATAAGGGTGGAGAAACCACCTCTTTGTGCCCAAAACACCCTTTCTCCCAGACACCCAGGGAGGTGCAGGACCATGGCGTGCTGGGTCCCCTGGTGCCACCCAGCCTCTCGGGTGGACCCTGCTGAACACTCCTCGATGTCTGCTCTCTCAGCTCCCCACCTCCAAAAGGACTCCAACAGCACCTGCATGACCCTGAGCTTGTGAACCAGCCTCAGCCTCCCCCCTCCAGCAGCCCCCCCATCCCCTGGGCCCCATCTCTCACCTGGGAGGTCCCGGTGATCATGTTCTTGATGAAGTCCCTGTGGCCAGGGGCGTCAATGATGGTGATGTAGTACTTGGTGGTCTCAAACTTCCACAGCGAGATGTCAATGGTGATGCCACGCTCGCGCTCGGCCTTCAGCTTGTCCAGCACCCAGGCGTATTTGAAGGACCCCTTCCCCATCTGGCCAACACAGAGGCAAGAACTAATGAGAAACCCAAGCCACAGCACTGGTGATGGCCTCCCACCCTCCAGGACACTTCCCAAGATCACACAGGGTCACACTACAAACATTTAAAGGTGAAATGCCCTAAATTCAGTGAGAGCTGTGGTCTATATACTAAAAATGCAGCTGAAGGGAGATATTGTTCTCAACATGTTCCTCAACTTGCTCCTCAGCAGGAGAGGCTGGAAGAAGGGCCATGAAGTGAATTTGTGAGTGGGGCTGGGTGGAGGCAGCAGCCCATGAGGTCTCCTCCATGCAACATTATGGTTCTGCACTGCTGCTGGGAAATCCTGTACAGAAACATGGAAAGCTGCTTCTTGTCACACTGAATGTCTCTGAAAGGATATTTATACACTTATCCCGTTTTCTAATGCTAATGGAATTATTGAAAAATATCTGTTTATGAGATTTATTTTATTTCCCATGGCTTCACAGAGATGCACACACAGGGGTGTGGCTTAGTGGTGGGTTTGCCAGTGATGGTTGGACTTGATGATCTTAGAGGGCTTTTCCAACCTAAATGATTCTCTGATTCTGTGATCTTAATCCATGACTCAGACCTGTGAGGCAGCTGGTTAGTGGGAAAGGGCATTGCTACATGAGTGAGCCCAAAACTGGCAGGGGTGGAATGGGTTAAAAGAAAATGAAATGAGAGATGGTTGCTGTGAGCAGAATAGAAATTTGATTGATTTTTGCCTCAGAGTGCGCAAATTCACAGCAAAAACTACTGTGAGCTGCAGCCAGACCAACTGTCGTTGCCAAATGGCCAAAATCTCAGCCAACATTGTAATGCAGGAAACCACGCTGGGGGAGATCAGCTCCAGTAAATCTTTCTGCCCTGTGATAAAGCACATTCCCTGGTAAAACCACGGTGGCACTCCTGGGAGGCCTTCTCCTTTGGGCTGGAGCCCTTTGACGTCACCACACCAGGGAGAGCTGGATTTCCCTCCAGCCAGATCCTGCCAAGGTAGAGATGGGGCAGGACAAGCCCACCCTTGCTGACCACACTGTGAGCTGGGACAGTCAGGGGAGCTTGGCCAAAGCAAGGGGTTAAAATAGGCTGCAGCCATCAGCTCCCGGCCTCGGATACAAGGAAGGTTTAAGGTAGAAAAAGGAATTTAGGTCATTTTGCAGATGATTTAATAGTCTCCTATTGTTATGCAAGGTCAGAACTGTGATACCCTGCTTCCATCCATCCATCCATCCATCCATCCATCCATCCATCCATCCATCCATCCCTCTTTTCCCTGCAATCACAGTTTCTTCTGGCCCATTATCAATCACAGGTCGGAGGGAAGCAGTCCCCAGTGGCAGGTACTCATCAGTGATGAGCCCCCCCAAGAAAGAGAACACAGCATCACATCCAAACCTTGCCCACACCATGCCCAGGGGCTGCTCTGCTGCTCTGCTCCATCTCCCACACTCCAGCCCTGTTCCCAGCCAGCACAAGGAATTAATGGTGACAGCCTGTTTCATAACAGCTGAGTGCTGCGATGACTTTGCAGCTTGCTCCGGAGGATTAAGGGCAAAATCCTAAAGCCAGGGGTAAGATTTCCCCTCCTCAGAGGGGACACCAGGTCGAGGAGGTGATGCCCAATCTCTGCTGGGAAGCTGTGAGCTCTCACTGGCATGGAAAAATCCAGAACCAAGACTCTGCTCCTGAGCATCTTCCTGACACTGGATGGCCAGGGGGGATGGGAGGAGCTTGGAGGTTTTTAGAATCACAAAATGGTTTGGGTTGGAAAAGACCTCAAAGATCGGCTCATTCCAACCCCTCTGCCATGGACAGGGGCACCTTCTGCTAGACCAGGTTGCTCCAAATTCTGTCCAACTTGGCCTTGAACACTTCCAGGGATAGGATCAGGTTAACCCTTTCCAGCACGCACATCAAACTCCCCCTTCCCAGAGAACAGGGAGCAGTCAGCAGAGTGTGCTGCTGGAAATGGAGACCCAGCAGGGAATGGTGCATTTGTGCATTGCATTAATTATGGGCTTTTCTTGGGCAGGAGGTCAATCAGCACATCCCACAGCCTCTCCCTCATCAGCAGCCTACTGCCTCCCTTCTGGATGGGGAAACTGAGGCACAGAGCAGAGCCCTGGCTCTCCCACAGCAGCTGAGTGGGAATCAGCACCTTCCTGCCATTGGCCATGTCCACACACACAGCCAGCTGCTCATCACGTGTGAGACCCCCTCAGAGCTCGGCATCACACGTAACGTGAAGACAAATGAGATCCTTTATTCAGCAAACAGTTTCCCTCCTTTCACAGGGTGTATTCAGTTACCCAGGGCTGGTGTTGAAAAACCCAGGGTATTATCTAGCTCTGCACAATACCTTCCCTGTTCAGTGCCAGAAATAGCCTGAATTTCCCCGATCAAACCCCAGTGGAGGGACAGCTTTCTATTTGGAGGCCACAAATACTGATTATTTAATTTTTTTTTTTAAAACAGAACAACTCTTCTTTCAGAGATACTGTTACCTCTGCCCTTGAATCAAAAGGGGGAAAAAAAGAGAGAAATCCTCGCTCTTTTCTCTTAAATAAAATAACAGACCCTGGAGTTTTTTTGTTGGCCTTTTGGGTGCACGCAGGCCTCCATTTCCTGTGAATGCCACCTAATGGAAGCAAACCCTTCCCCAGCCCTGCATCAGAAAATGGAGTCTGTAAGCTCAGTCAATAGGCTATTAATAGCAGCCTCCGGTGCCCGCGGATCCTGGCAAGTCAGTGAAAGTGCCTGTGCAATTAAAATCACTGCAATCACATCGACGATAACCTTATCATGCCTTATCTGATCTTATGGGTAAAGGGGGGGAATTTGTGGAAGGATATCGGCAATCATTTTAATCCAGGGGAGAAGGGTAATTTTGTATGAAGGAAGAGGCTCCTTTCCTTAAGGATGCAAAAAAAGGCTGAAAGTGAGGCAGGAAAATAAGGGATTTAGCTCAGATACTATCGGCAAGTTAAAAAGGTCAAGACAGACAGCAAAACATGAAATTAAAAGTGGCAGCTCTGTAAATCTCTTTTGTTTTTTCTTTCTTGTCAATGAAATGTGTGATTTTGACCAGAAAAATAAATGGAAAAAAAAAAAAAAGAGGGATATCTGCATTTCCAGAGCGATGACGACAAGCCATCTTCTGAGTGACAGGAGCTGCCCTGTGGATAACACAGCCAGGCTGTTCCCAGCTCACCCGCCTCTCTAGAATTTACCATCATTAATTTCTCTGCACTCCCAATTGACATTTTTCTTCCCAAGCCTGTTTCTTCCTGATTAATCCTGGGGTTTGCCACATTACAGGTATCGGGTGGTGCTTTGCTGTGCGACAGCTTCTAAATGCATGCACGATAAAATTATTATAAATGTCACCATTGCAAGGGTTAAACAAAAGAATTTAACTTAAATGCTCAGATTTACAGACAGTTTTCTGTATCATAGGTTGCCAATCACACTACACACCAGACCACCTGCCTGAGGAAAAAGCGAATGAGGTTTTTCAGCTGGATCAAATGAGTCCAGCTGATGCTGTACCTTGTCCCAGCAGGCACTGGAAACTGATGCTTCAGAGTGAAATTCAGACAGCCCTGACCTATGCAGTGAGGGATTATCAGGTTTTCCCCCCTCACGCACCATATTTAGAAAGAATTTCATGCCTTGAAGCACCATGGTTTGTGGCTTTTCCAGGATTCTAGTGATTCCTGCTGGTTCCCTGACCCATCTTGCAGACCTCGCCGTGCCCCTGCCCTGGTTACCAGCGGGCAGCAGGGAGTCCCCCAGCTCCGAACAGAGGGTGGCGAGCACCCAAATGGCCCATTTTCCCAAGGCCAGAGAAGTCGGGGAGACCCAGGGGTGCAAAGGGAGAAAAATAGATGGGAACAAAGGGAGAAATGGAAGGTAAGAGAAGGGCAGCACGGGCAAAAGGGGAATACTGCCTGCGGGATACTGGCGGGGGCCAGCGTGGAGCATCCCCGCGGGTGGGAATGCGGGGTGGGGACAGGCTCCTCACCTCGGCAGCCTCCTTCTCAAATTTCTCAATGGTCCGTTTGTCGATGCCCCCGCATTTGTAGATGAGGTGCCCGGTGGTGGTGGATTTCCCAGAGTCCACATGCCCGATGACGACGATGTTGATGTGCGTCTTCTCCTTCCCCATGCTGCTGGGCTACGCGGGGCTGGCCGGGGCGGGCGGCGCTGGGGAGGGCGGTGGGAACGCAGCTGCCTTTTGGGGGAGGCTGAGGGGGAAGAGTCGGGAGCGTCAAAAGAGCCCCCCTTGTGCCAATCCCCTCCCAGACCTTGGGGAAAGTCTGTCCTCCCCTCGCCCCACCTTCCCGCTGGACCACTCGCCCGGGGGTGCCCGGCCTCGTCTGGCAGCTCTGCCCGCACTGGGTCAGAGCCAGCCGGGCTATTTCGGGCTGCCACGTCCAGCCTCCAATTCTCGGCAAGACGCCGTGTTTTTCGTGGTTTTTTCGGCATCTTGCCCTCCACCTCCCTCGCGGAGACCCCCAGTTCCCAGGGCTACGTCATGGATGCTTCGAAGGTGCCCTTCCTCCCTGGAAAACCTCCCTGGAAAACCTCCCCGCGACTCAGGGCTGCTCCCGCTGCCTTCTCGCTCTTTCCAAAGCCGAGGGCATCTCCTCCATGTCGTGGGTGCCCTGGGAGGAGCCGAGGGTGCCCGTCCTCCCGGGCTGCCCTCACCACTCCCCAGCTGGGCACAGTTCAGGTGACAACAGAGTGTCTGCAAAACGGGGTGGACAAAAATAGCCCTCGCCTGCTCCCCCAAGCAGGGCTGCAACAGCGGGGCTGCCCAGGGCTCCTCTGAGCCTGCACTTTGCGGGGTTTATTATATTTTGCTGCCGTGAAACTGGATGGAAGAGAGGGAGGAGGCTAAAAACGCAAACGGATATATCCGGGGAGCTGTCCTGGCATCTCCCGGCGTTGCCATGGCTCTGCAGCTGCACACAAACCGGGCACAATTAGGAGCTTTAATCTGACGTCTAATAAAATCCAATTTCACGAATCTGCCCGTAGAAGTAAAGGAGGTCAGGAGGAGTTTGCTGCTCTAATAGCGATGCAGTCATGCGGGTGGTAACATTCCCAGCGAGAAGCTTCCCCGGGCAGCAGGAGCGGCGGCTGGCCCGTCCCTCCTGCCCTTGAACCCCGCCAGCCCGGGTCTGGCCATTTTGCTCCACTGAGATGCTCGGTCCCGGACTCGCACCCGGACCCAATCCTGCCCTGCAGACCCCTGGCACACAGCGGGAGATACTGGATCGCTTTGGGAATTGGGGATTTGGTTTTTTTATTATTCCTTCCCCAAGGAGCTAAAGACATCCCTGCCCATGGCTGGGGGATTGGAACGAGATGATCTTTAAGGTCCTTCCAAATCATTCGAGGATTCTATGATTCTAAAGGCAGGGTGGGGGGAGGGGGGAGCTGGGGGGATTATCAGGTTTTCCTCCTCGTGCACGACATTTAGAAGGATTTTCACGTCCTGAAGCACCACGGCTTGCGTGTTATTTCCCACCTGCGCCAAAGACGCACCTGCGGGATGAAGGAATGGTCCAGCCCCATCCTTTCCCTCCGCGGGGTACCCCGCACCCCGGAGGGGCTGACAGCACCCACACACGGGAGGGGGGCACTGATCCCCTGGGGCAGGACACCCCTCCCGCATCCCCCTGTCCCCCCATCCCGCCGGGGTCCCGCAGCTCTTACCGGGGCGGCGGTCGGGGCGGCCAGAGGCTGCCGGCTTGGGCTCCGCCGGCTTTATCTCCGCGGGAGGGGCCCTCCTATCGACGGCGGCAGCGCAATGCAGCGGCCCCCCCGCACTACGGCAATGCGGTACCGGGCGGGGGAGGAGGAGGAGGAGGAGGAGGAGGAGGAGGCGCGGGGGGGACGGGGAGAGGAGGAGGACGACGAGGAGGAGGAGGGAGAGGCGGGAGAGACGGGGGACTGGGAGGGAATGTGTAGGGATGGGAAGGAGGTAAAAGGATGGGAGATAAAGGGATGGGATGAAGATGGAGGGATGGGGAAAATGGAGAGGTGGAGGGGGGGGGGTGATAGAGGGATGGGAAGGTGAAAGGATGGAAGGCTGAAGTCAGAGGGAGACGGCAAGATGGAAGGTGGAGAGATGGAAGGAAGGTGTAAGGAGGAAAGATGGAGAGACAGGAGCCATGGAAGATGAAGGCATGAGAGGGAGGTGGAGAGATTGAAGGCAGAAGGATGGAAGGATGGGGAAAATGGAGGAGAAATGGAGAGGCAGAGGGGTGGAAAATGGAGGGATGGGAAGATGGAGAAATGGAAGACTGAAATCAGAGGGAAACAGCAGAATGGAAGAGAGAGGAATGGGGGAAAGATGGAAGGATAAAAGATGGAGAAACAGGAGAGAGGGATGATGAAGATATGAGAAGGAGATGGGATGGAGGAGATGGAGAGACTAGAGACAGAGGGATGGGAGGAAGACAGATAAATGGAGGGAAGGGCTGTTTGGAAGATGGGGAAATGATGGAAGTGCTGGCCCAGGGGGACTTGGACTCCCTGTGGCAGCCTGGGAGGGAGGGGACAGGGCTGGCTTTGGATGGGCCACCAAATCCCACATCTCTGTCCCCAGTGGTGCAGAAGGGCTGTGCTCCCACAGGGGCGGGGAGGAGAGGAGTCCCTGCAGGGCACAAACGGGACCCTGGGAGACCCTGAGGGCACTGCCCCACATCTCTGCCTCGCTGGGATGCATCAGTCCAGGAGCAAGTGACTAAGCAAGGGACAAGCACAGAAAACAGATTTCTGCACCTGCAGCACATATGGGGGCTGCTCAAGAATTTGTGATTTAAAAACATCATCTCATTTTTAATGGGAAGTGGGGCTCAGGTCCTAGGAGGACAAGGAAACCATAAACCTTCAGTAATATAATGACATTTTCTTTGCACAAAAAAATAATATGTAGTGTCAGAATATTTATGTCTGTGTCAGCTGTGCATTTCCAAGGCCAATCCAAAATTTTCTGTGTCCCAAAGCCAAATATAGGTAAAAAGGAAGCTAATTTGACTAAAGCTATGAAATAACCCAGAACAATTTTATGGCCCAGACCATCCTTCCAGTGAATTCAACAGCTAATTTAGATACCTTTACGAAGATACTCTTACCTTCCTAGACTAATGGTTAAAAATTTAATCATCATGTGGATAAAAATGTTTCTAACTTCTCATTAGTGCTCAAAGGGAGGCCTTTTTTAATGAATATTATACCTCACTGGTATTTTCTTAGAAATATGATAGGCAAGATATCTTCTGTTTTTATGAAGCATTCCTTGCACAACATAAAATGCACTGAGTGCCAGGAAAAATAAAAAGAAACGTCCAAGGAGGAGATTCTAAGAGGATTTAAAGAGCCTTGTTTTGGGATGGGGATAGAAGATTTACCATAGTTCTGGACGGGCTGGAGATAGACAGCAAGTGTGATAATTTGGAGGAGGGAGAAATTTATAAACCCCTCGTTATTTCTATCCATATTTTAGTGCTTTGCCTTTTTTTCACACAAGGGCTGAGGCAGCCTGGGAACTGCCCTCAGAGGGGCAATGGCTGAGTTTAATAATGAAGATGGGGATGGAATAAATCCTGGTCACCTCTGCCAGGTGAGCATGGGATGGGCTTCTCCTGCCTCCTCTCCTTCTCCAATAAAAAGAATTTTTGTTTCCACCCCTTTTCCCAGGCAGGCAGAAGGGAACTTGGCAGTGCCCTGTTCTGCACTGAAATAGAGCCTGACGGCCCATCGGCCTATAAATAGTCCAGGAGCTGAGAGGAGAGGAGAGAGGGCTGTCAGACCTGGCTAATCCCAGCTCCCTTAAGCCACTTTGCCCCAGCCTCGAGAGGTTAAAGCCACAGCTGTGTGCCCAGGTCTGGCTGGCACCCAGGGCTGAGGACTTCACTGAGCACGTGTGGCTCCGGGGACCATCAAGCTCAACTTCCACGCCTGAGTGGAATAATCTTCCCTCACAAAAAAAAACCAAAAAAACCACAGTGTAAATTTACCCTTAAATGTAAAATAACAGAGACCCGAGCAAGAGAAATCCGAGGGAGGCTGAAGTTTAGCACCTCGTCTGCCTCCATCTGGTGTCAGATCCACGGCCCTGAAACAATTCCCCTCCATCTTCTTGAGGCTTGATTCACCTTCCATGTAAGCCACCATCAAATGATTTAGGATGACTCAAGAAAACAGAAACCTCCTTCCTCAGAAGGGATGGGCAGGCTGCACACAAACATGGCAGGGACCTCTTACTCCTTTCATCATCATCACCTCCACCACACCCAGCTCTACAGCCCCTGGACTGAGATTTGGTGTTTTAATCTAGGCTACCATTTCCATTTGATTATTTAAACTAGGCTAACATTTCCATTTGGTTCTTTAAATTAGGCTAACATTTCCATTTGCCCAGACATAACCACTGGAATTTATTTTTTCCCCCAAGAGGCCCTCACAGTGACTGGGAGAGGGAATAATCCGCAGTGCTGGTAATTTGTATGGATCTGGGATGTGAACACTCCAGGCTGCCTGCCTGGATTTGCCTGGCTCTGGGGGTGTTTCTGCCCGTGAGTGTTCAGCTCACTAAGCAGTTGTGTGTTTGTGGTTATGAAATGCAGCAGGTCTCCTCTGAAGAAGGGGGTTTGGGCAGGGCAGATGGCAGCCACGAGGAATGCCAGCCCAGATGTCACTCCAGAAGCTCTGGTCTCACAAGGGAGAAGCTGGGGCTGGACAGAGGAATGGCTGTAAATTGCTGTTTTCTTTCTGTGCAAGAAAACTGAGTCCTTGAAAGGAAGAAGTGCAGCCTGGCTTCATGCAAGAGCCATTGGAAAAGCAGATCCAAGGAGGGTAGAGCAGTGGTTGTCCTCAAAAAGGCAGTTTGTGGACAGAGTGGAGGCTGTTAGCTTTCCTTCTTCCTATGTTCAGGCTTTCAGCTCCTGCACACCAGCTTTGGAGGCTTTGCCAAGGCTTTGCACCCTGATATTTCAGCATTTACCATCTGCTGGGAGTGGACAAGCTCGAAGCACAGAGGCACTGACCATCCTCTGCTCATGTACACATCATGCATCCCATGGCAATCAATGCTGGTGCACACAAAACAGGCATTCCCACTGCAGCTAAACCCCAGATTAACTGCTGTTAAAACAGGATGGGATTCCCTGCTCTACATCCCAGGCGTTTCTAGAGCATGTTTACCTGGGGCTGGCTTTGAGGTTAAACTCTCCAGGTCCCTGTGTTTACATGCCATGACCCTCCCAGTGTGTTTGCCTGGCAACACTCCTGGCCCAAGGCATCAAACAGGAAGAAATTAAAGGATTTTAGAATCCCAGACTGGTTTGGGTTGGAAGGGGTCTTAGGCATCATCTCATCCCAACCCCACTGCCATAGGCAGGAACACTTTCCTCTAGACCAGTTTGTTCAAAGCCTCATCAAACTATCCTTGAACACTTCCAGGGATGGAGTAGATTTCATTAACTTTTAACATGAGCAGCTTTTTCAGCTCATGCTCATGTTGTAGACCTGGAGAGGAGAGATAAAGACAGGATTTATGGGACAGGAAGGCAGGGGAAGGAGGAGAAAGGGAATATTTTGAGGTCCTGCACTCAGTGCATGTTGCTGATAACTTTAAATTGGAGCCAGAGATTTAAAAATAAACGTTGGAAGTGATAACAAGACATCCAAGTCCTCCAGCCACTTGGCCAGCTGGAGATGGAGTCTGGTGTCATCCCTGATGGGACAGCAGAGTAGCCAGTGCAGGGTGGGCTGCTCCTTGGTGCCCACATCACTGGGACCTGCCCAGTGGGGTTTAGTCACAGCCACTGGGGGTCCAGGGTGACCTGAGGTACCAGTGCTGGAGGGACAATGCTTAAAGGCCTTGAAAACTGTCCCCATCCATCCTGGGTGTCAGTAGTAGCACATGGCTCTGGGGATGCTCTTCCAGGAACCCCTTTTCCACCAAATATCTGAGTTGTGGAGTTGAGGCTGTGGAGGATAAAACTGCTCAGCCTGAGCTGCTGTCCATCTGGGAAGCAGCCAGGATTAATGTTTCCATGCCCTGAAATATCTTGTAGCACCAGGGAAGGAGACAAACACCATTTCATCCACATCTCATCAGGGACACTGTGATATTTCTGCAGCATCTGTGGGGGCTGCGAGACTCTGATCCTTTAAATCTCCTTGTGAGCTGAGGATGGGGCAGAGCCCAATCTAGGTCAAGCCCAAATGAGATGAGGCACCTCTGCCCTGTGGTTTAGTGCTGTTTGCAGGATGCTGCCTTGCCCTGGACCATGCCGAGTTTTCAGCAAATATGTCTGGTGCTGTGTCAAGCTTCACCAGATTGATGTGTTTGTTTTGGCAGCTGCGCACATCTCCCAGTTAGGAAAAGCCTGATTAATCCCAGGGATGGCTTTTCCTATCAAACCACAGCCACTGAGTGAAAAAAGCCCTGGCTGCCCACATCTTCTGATGGCTTTAGTGGAAATGTTAAAGGAGATACCTGGGTAACAGCATAAGCTTTGGGTGCATCCAAAGGGTGAATAGAGGATCAGAGAACTTAATGAGAAATTTTTTTGCTGGACCAACCCCCATCAAAGTCCTAGGGTTTATATTGGTGAATAATTTGTTTTCATGTGGTAGTAGTGACTGGTAGTGGCATCTCCCCTGATCCCACAAAGGAGTTGCTGGTCTAGGAGTTTTCTGCAGACATGGATCCTGCTCAGTGTTGCTGCTGGTTTCTGCAAGATGATTTTCTAGTTTTTAGAGAGGAAGAAATGACCCATAAGTGAGGAACTTGTGGAAGCAAGTTCACCACAAGCCTCTGGATTACAGCAAGCACCTGTCATCTCTCTTCATTTCCTAGTCCAAACTGGAG